ACCCACTAATATTATAGACTGCTAGACAGTGTTAGATTGTTTAGTTGAATTCAAACACCTATAGTATTTAGATGCCAATAGAATATTCACCTCTGACAGGACAAAAAAATAAAAATTAAAAAAAGATAAAAAGGAAAGATCATTTTGTATTTATATATACAAAATAGGATAAATTTACAACTACTTTCGCTTAACTCAATGAGAAGAGGTGTACTAACAGTGTTTGGACAGAATATCCTCTCTGCTTCTTGTAGTATGGATAACCACTAAGAAGATAACAATGTACAGTGTATTGACTATCAAAACTGTCCTATTAATCAGCTGTGAAACTGTCTCATTCATATTTATTTCTCAATAAAAAAGTAAATATGAAAAAAATATAATTGACCTGTATAATCACACACACACACACACACACACACCAGGAGAATATGAGTCAATGAAAAACAATAAGTCAATGAAATGCTTGCAGAAACTTTCAAATTTCCTAAAACTGATCCATGGGGGGATTGAGGGGAAGAAATCAAAAGCCAAACAGCTGGGTTATACAAAATGATAAAATAGGAGACAATAAAACAGATCAATATGGTACTGAGTTAGCTCAAAGATAATATAACTAAACAGATAATGGACACAATAGACAAAATGATCAATAAGCTTAGAGAAGACACTAAAGAAAAGCTGGTTGAGCTAAGCAAAGTGATACAAACCATAAATCGTCAGTGTGGAAAAGAATTACAGTCCATGTAGAGCTATCAAGCAGAAATCCAGGAGATAAAAATTCTATTGAAAATATGGGCAGAGATGGCATGGTGGTGTACGCCTGTAATCTCACCTCGTGGGAGGCTGAAAACAGAATCATTATGAGTCCTATTTGTGTAGTGAAACCCTGTAGAACCTGTACTAAGTACATTTATTTATTTATTTATTTTTGGTTTTGGCAGAACCAGGGGTTGAACTCAGGCCCTTGCACTTGCCAGGCAAGCACTTATTCTACTGAGCTATCTCTCTAGCCCCCTAAATACATAAAAAAAGAAAATATGGGCAAAAGAAATGACCAATGTGAGGACAGTGTGTCAGAACTAGAAGACACACAGCTGATGTGACAGTATCCTCACAGATACTATAAGAATAATAAGAGAAGAAGGAAAATGGATCCAACTGTTTTTATTTTATTTTATTTTTGGTGGTACCAGATATCAAACTCGGGACCTTGCCCTTGCCAGGCAGGCACTTATTCCACTGAGCTATTCTCTCTCCACCACCCCCTTCCTACAGTTTTTAAATAATGCGAAGAAGACTAATCTCAGATTCGCTGGAATTAGTTAAAAATAAGAAGAGAGTATGAAGGCATAAAAAATAGTAGAAAACTTTTCCAAATATTGCAAAAGAATTTAAGATACAGTTAATCAAATCTAATCAGACCCTGAGATACCCATGATCAAAAATGAATTTCTCCATGACACACCATAGTCAAAATCCCCAAAGTCCAACACAAGGACAAAATCTTAAAAGTTGTTTTAGAAAAGCAGCAAAGCAGAACTGGTGAGATAGCTCAGTAGGCTAAGTGCCTGCTTAGGCAAGCTCAGGGAACAGGGTTCGATCCCCACTACCACATGCCCCAGGTGCACTGAGTCGGCCACTGAGACCAAGCATGGTGGTACATGCCTGTAGTCCCAGTGGTGAGGAGGCTGAAAATAAGAGGATCACTAGAAGGCTGAGGAATGTAGTGAGATCCTATACCAAATACTTTTTTTTTTAACAAATCTTTATTTATTTAGTGTGTGTGGCTAGCTCAGCCCACCAGGGGGCGGGGCTGGCTGGCATGTGGTGCTGGGGGATGGAACCGTGGTCCCTGTGTTTTGCTTAGCTTAGCTTGTTCTAAGTAGGTGCTTTAGACCACTGAGCCATCTCAGCAGCCCCCAAATACTTTTAAAAAAACAACAAAGCACTTATAAAGTGATGTCTGTTAGAATTATAGTATGTTCCTGACTTACAAACATTCAAGTTGCAAACTTTCACAGGTAAGCATGGATTTCCCATTTTTATGCTTTACATTGTATATTTGTGTCAAATGTGTATAAGAATTTTATTGCACTTATGAATGACTCTGATTTACAAATGTTCTCCCAGAATTGAACTCATTTATAAGTCCTGCAATTACTCTAAATAGAGTTCTTTACACAAACCTCAAAGATCAGGAGAGATTGGAGTGAACTGTTTCAATACCTAAAAGAAAACAACTTCCAACCAAAACTAGTTTATCCTGCAAGACTATCTTTCAAAATACTGAAGAAATAAAATGTTTGCATAACAAAGAAGACCTTAAGAAATTCATGACCATCAAATCAGTACTCCAAAGAAATTCTTGTATATTTTAGAAAGAGATAATGAAGCCAACAATGCTAAAAGGAATAATAGAATAAATATATCAGGTACTGAGAAGTTAAGTTGCAAGAAAATAGCAGCAGAACAATGTAATGAGAGGAATACATTATTATCTTTCAATAATAACTCAATCAAAATACCACCAACACTCCTCACAGAACTAGAGAAAATAATCCTGAAATTCATACAGAAGCAGAAGACACCCAAGATAGCAAAAGAAAATATGGCAACAAGAACAAAACAGAAGGCATCATAGTCCCGAATTTCAACTGATATTGCAAAGCTATAGTGTCAAAAACAGCATGATACTGGCATACTTAGCACGCTGAGATGGTGATTGAGACTGGGCATGGTGGTGCGAGTGGGTAATCCCAGCACTTGTGAGGCTGAAAACAGCAGAATCACTATGAGTCCGATCTAGTAGTGAGGCCCTGTAGACCCTGTAGACCCTGTCGTCCCTGTCATCAAATCAGGAAAAAAATAAAAAAAAAGACCAAAGGAAAAGACAGGACATAACATATACTGGCCAGTGTCCCTGGGTGGACACCACGCTGTTGGTTCCCACATCAGCCGGTTTGCCCAGAAAAGGAAGGAAAGGGTGACCCAGAGGACTTTTAGACCTTATTTGATCTTATGCTGTGATCAACAGATCATTTTTTTTTTTGTGGGGGATGTTCAAACAGGAGCTTGCTATGTGGTTAAGGCTGGCTTCGAACCCTTGGCGATCTTCCTGCCTTAGACTTCCCAGGGCTGAGATTACAGGCCTGTGCCATCAAGCCTGGCAGCAATTCTACACACCTTGGGCAATTCCAGAAATGATTGGTCATTCCATTGTCAGCGTATTGATGCTTGTCTCATTGCACTGGATCATCTTCCTTCTTAATTTACCTGTTGCCACTTGGAATATATATCGGCTCATTATGGTGCCAAGTGGCAACATGGGATTGTCTGACCCAACCGAAATACACAATCGAGGGCAGCTGAAGTCACACATGAAAGAAGCCATGATCAAGTTTGGTTTCCACTTGCTCTGTTTCTTCATGTATCTTTATGGTATGATTTTAGCTTTGATAAATGACTGAAGCTGGAGAAGCTGTGTTTGAAGTCAGCCTGCACTACAGTGCACTGCAGAGGAGCCAGAGACCGCCTGAACCACCCTTAGAACCGTAACCACAGCAGTATATATTTTTGTCTTTGAACAAAAACTATTTTTGCTGTATTTTTACCCTATAAAGTATTTAAGAAATAAATAAATAAGGAAAAGACAGGAAACAGGGAGATAGATCTTTGTCAGAATGACCATTAAGTGGTTGGAGGTGAGAGAGAAGACAGGGGAAGGGGATGGAAAAGAAATGTATTTTATGTACAGCTACCAAGTCCTTATAATGTATGTAATTATTCTGTACTACAAACTTGTACAGATTGAAATAAGTAAAAAGAAAAGCAATTTCGATGTCATAGATTCCATAGAAAGAGTTTCAAGAAGGAGAAAATAGTTGACAATATTAAATGTAGGAAATATCAAGCAACATAAAGGTTGTCAATGCTTTATTTATTTGTTCCAACATTTATTGCCATGGACTTCATTGGTTTTGTATCATCTTAAGCAGTTTCAGAGAAGAAGAAAGCCAAATTTCTGAGAGTTGAAAAATGAGTGAGAAGGGAATAAAAGCTGCAAACATACCCCTAAAATACACTTTAAACAAATTTGATTTTTTTTTTTTTTTTGGCAGAAACGGATTGAACTCAGGCCCTTGCATTTGCCAGGCAAGCACTTATTCTACTGAGCCATCTCCCTGGCTCCAACAAATTTGCTTGTAAAGAGGAGCTGGAGAGGGAACTTGTGTGTAGGTAAATAATATATTTTTACGTTGGTAGAAACTTGTGTATGTTCAATTGTTGGTAACAGAGATTTGAGAGACAAATTTGATTTGAGCATATTTAATTGCTGATGGAAAGCAGAAGAGAGACAGAGTAACGGGGGTCGGTAATTACTGGATAGACACAAACCTTTAATGTCTGTTGGTACATATTTCTCACATGGTTCCTAAAAGTACTTTTAACCAATACATACTCTTATTAACAATTAGGAGAGAACTTGTTTAGTGATTACTGTGTCATTGTTCCATATTATTACCAAAAAAATTCACAAAACTGCTTGCCAAAGAATCTCATTATTGTTCTAATTATTCTCTGATTAGTAATGAGTGGAAGCAGTTGTGTCGTTTAGTGTAAATGTGTGAAGTTAATCTATGTCCTTTGCTCAACTTCTTTTATCACAGGTACACTTTGCCATAAAAATCCAAAAGTAAAAAAATCAGAACGGTTCTTATTTTATCTTCCCAAATTATATAGTTCAAAAGCTTTTTCTTAAGGGCAACTCTGGGCTCATCTGAACAGGTAGGTGATTTGCACAGAGACCACAGATGCAAGTAAAGGTGGGAGATAAATTTAGTCTTACACCCCCTATCTCTAGTTTCTAAGTTTCTTTTCTAACCCAGAGGACATTCCTCCAGTGCCTAAAGACTGGCTCCCAGAACTCTAGGGCTGTGCGGTCTCTTTAAGCGCCAGGCTCCTCCCAGTTCCAGGGAAAGTTGCAGCTTTTCCGCCTCCCAAGAGAGTGAGAAGGGCCGGCTTGGGAGCGCAGTTGCGGTCTTCCAGAGCTGGAGACCCACCCTCGAATCCGGCTCTGGGAGGTCTAGTCCTCTCAAGGAACCTGTTGCAAGTGACAGGTAGGTCTGTACAGTGCCCATTCCCTGGCTCTCGCTTTGCTACTCTTTTTTGAGCTCCCAGCGCTTTTTGCTGCAGAAACACTCCTACCAGCAAATCTGGGACCCGCGTCCTTCTCTACCACTCTTTGCTCTTCCTGTTTTTCCTTCTCTCTTGCTGACCACCTGTCTTCTCTGACTGGTCCGCTTCTCTTGACCGCACCCTCAACACTTTTGCTACAGTCCGTTTGGGGCAGTCCCTCTTTACCACTTTTGGGCTTCTTCTGGTTGGTTCCCTCTCCCACCCGTAGCCAACGTGGATCATGTCCCTTTGTGGGCTGCTTCCTGCCGGTCATCCCAGGAGCCAAGTGCCCCGAATTTTCTCACAAATTAGGGACCCTTAAGAGAGCTGGTGCTGGGGCCAAGGGTGGGGCAGAGCTCCTAGCACGAACTACCGCCCTGCAAGAAGTCCAGTCACCTTTTTGTGGGTTCTTCTCCCAGTGCCCGGCTATCAAGGTGTCGTTTTCCTGGCCATATGCCACAGAGTTGCAGGCTGGTTGGCCCTGAGTTCAGCCTCTTTGGGCACTTCTTCAGCTTATGACTGGAAACCCAGCTGTGTGCTCCAGCTGTGAGCTCCAGTGCTAAACTTCTCGCCTCCTTTCAAGTGGGCTGTGAGAACTTACTTCTGGAGGAGGGTACTCAGAAGAGCCTCAGAATGCTTCTGTTTCCTGTGATTATTTGTAAAGGTATAGAAAGGTATTTCTCCAGTGTATAACGTTGGTTGAGATGGGGTTTCTGGTGATGAAATAATTGGGGTAGAATTCTGGTGGCTTGAAAGAATAATCTGTTTCTAAATAAGCAACTGATTTTTTGTTTTTGTTTTTGTTTTCCCAAGTACTCTGTTTCTTCAGAATCAATGGACCTAACATTGCCAAATACTACTTTTAGCAGGGTTGACCCTAGAGCCAGTACATTTGTGGCAGAAATTAGTCTTCAGTACATTCTGGACCTCCTATATTTTATTTTTTATTTATTTATTTATTTTTTGCGGAACCGGGGATTGAACTCAGATCCTTGCATTTGCCAGTCAAGCTCTTATCCTACTGAGCCATCTCCCCGGCCCCAGGACCTCCTATTTTTAACTGACTTCTTTACTCTTTCAGCTCCCCCCTCCACTGCTCATAATAAATCCCTGACTTTGAGACTTTGCTCAAACTCTTCTTTTTTTTCCTGAAAAGCTAAATTGCCACCATTACTCCCTACCCCACCATTAATTCCTGTTCATTGCTCAAGATTTGACTCTAAAGTCACTTCCTTTGGGAATTACCTTATGAGCACACATTTCCATTTCCAAGCGCAGCTACTAGTCACACTGTGTATTTTTAAAGTTGATTTTTGTTAATTTTATTGGTTCATTATATATATACATATATATGTCACATTTATCATAGGTAATTTATACCTCTACATAATATATATTGATTCTTCTTTTTTCCCCCCACCCCACTTCCTTAATTCCTCTTAGGAAAATAGAAAGAAAAAGTTGGATATACTGTTTTAAAACACTTTTTAATTTTTACAACTTAATAAAGGCCTTAACTCTCAGTTGTCTTGCTGCCTAGGTTGTCACCTCTGTAAGGGCCTGGTCTGGCTCTCGAAGCTCCCCTTCTCTTAAATACAAGAGACTAACAAATACTTGTGCTAGGAACTGGAAATACTGTGCTTTCAAAGATTGGGGTACTCTTTTGGAATATTTTGCTGAGTTTACACACCTATAATATTCAATAACAGAACTTAGAAAAAATGGGGTATACCGATGAATGTCCATTTTGTATCTGTGTATTCAAAGTGGTTAGGATAGATATATAGTTGCATTCTCTTAATGAATAGAATGATTTGTTCTAATGGTGTTTGTAAATAGGATCACAAGTCCTCATCTTGTACAGCAATTAACCACTAAGAAGAATATATGCAGTGTGTTATTTGTTGAAACTGTACTTTCGATTTGATTTGAAACTGTCTCATTGCTATCTGTTTATCAATAAAACTTTGAAAAAAATAAAATAAAAAAAAAAAACAAAAAACCCACAAAAGATTGGGGTATAGTGATGTTGGAATTAAAGTACAGAAGTCACCATCCATAGACATTTGAACACCCACAATCAGGAATTTGTACTTAAATGTTACCTTTGTAATGGGACGCTCCTTGTCTACCCTCCTTAAATTTGCGACATTTCTTTATATTTTTTCATCAACATTTTTTATTTTCCTTCCCTACCTTGTTTCAGTTTTCTAATTTGTGTCTCTTCCCCCTAGAAGGTAAAGTTCGTGTGAACATGGATTGTTGTCTGTTGTATTTTCTGGTAGACCCCAGAACTTCTAAAAATAGGAACTGGCACACTCTTTTGACACTCCTGGACTTCAGCAAAGTGTGTAGATGTCACTCTACATGTTCAAAGTTGCCTCAGGCCCCGTTCTCTCTGTTTTCCTTTTGCCGGTTTTGCTCTGAGACTGCATTCTTGATGACAGCTTTAATGTGGTTGGAAATGTTTCCTCTTCTTTTTAATGTACAGGTTTTGGATAGAAATTTCTAAAGTTTAGAAGTAGAAATGTTAAAATGCTATGCTTTTTGGTGATAGGAAGGGGTGCTACTGCAGGAAGAGGAGTGTATATTGTCAGATATTCAGAAACATTTTAGGTATTTGTCAAAGTTAGTAAGAGGCGGAGAAAGTTGCCTTGCAACAGGGAAGTGAGCAACTCAGAATAATATAAGGTACTATAAATGAGGCTTTTGATATGCAGTCACCTGTAGCTTTTTAGATGTACTGTAGTTACTGGATTATAAACTTTATGGAGCAGCCACAGTTGAGTGTTACTTGTGTAAACTTTGATTACATTTATTTCAAAAATTTTTAATTAATTTTCTCAGTTTTATTAGTGCATACTTATAGTACATAATGGTTATATTCACTGTAGGGAATTGGTACATGTACATAACATATATTAATTATTTTATTTTCTCCTGCCCTCTACCCCTCATATTTTTCTAGCATCAGGTTAATTTATTTATAAGATCTTATAAAGTTAAACTAAAATATATATACACTGAAAGCCACACTAATCCACCAAAGAACATATAAGCATGTAAGACAGTTGTACTAAGTCAAGGAATACTTTAGATGATATTGTCCATGCTGATTTGCAGTACTTTTTTTCCCTCTCATATATCTCTCTATATATCATATGATATTTAAGCTTGTATATATGAGTTACTTCACTTAACATGGTCTTGAGGTACATCTGTTTTCCTACAAATGGCTCAAGTTTGTCCCTCTTTATGTCAGAGTAGTACTGTCCAATGTGTGTAAATACATTTTACCTATTTCTCTGTTGATGGATATATAGGCTCCGTGATTTAGCTATTATAAATTGTACTGCTATAAACTTGGGCATGTATATCACTGTGGTATACTGTCCATTAACAGTTTTGCGAAGATATCTAGAAGGGCAATAGCTTGGTCTCCTGTTTACAGCCTCCCAAGAGCTGGGATTACAGGGGCACGTCACCATGCCCAATCTCAATTGCCGTTTCAGCACGCCCCGAGTGCGGGGCCAGCACGGCAGGCCAGAGGATCAAACCCCAGGCTGCTGTGCCTGCTTGCAGGCACTTTAATCTGCTGAGCTATTGGTCCCAGATTTATGCCTCTGACCTAGGTTTGTTTTCTAAACTGTAGCTTTCTATATTCACTGACCTATTAACATCTCTATTAGTCTATCAAATGGATGCCTCAACATAGCATGGCTCAAATAGCACTCCTGATTCCTCATATCTTTAGCATCCCCTGTCTCAGAAAAACGACATCATTATTCATTTAGTTTCTCAAATGAAAACCTTGGGGTCACACTTGCTTTTTTCTTTTCTTACACTGCTCCCCCACATTCAGTTCATGAGAAAGTGCTGTCCACCTGATCCTCAAACTATATCATATATTCTTTCACATGCCTTTATCTCTTCTGCCCTAGTGTAAGCCAGCACAATATTGTGATGACCATCTTCTATATCTATATCAATATGTCTATATCTAAACTATAGGATATTTTTCTATTAGAATTTATGGACCAAGAAGATGTTGATCAAATCATAGCATCTCAGATAGACTCCAGTGCAAAAGATCTCCAAAACTTACTTCTGCAGTATGGACCATACTTAAATATATATACTGGTAGGAAAATAGATTTGTAACATTATTCACCACAAAATAATAATTTGGTATGGTGAGGATATGTTAAATAACTAGACTGAATATATCTACAGTGTATGCATAGATAAAAAACTTCAGGGCCAGAGATATAGCTCTGTGGCACACTACTTGCCTGGCATGCTCAAGGTCCCAAGTTTGATTCCTGGTACCCAAGTAAAACCTTCACATTTTATCCCATAAACATAAATACTTCATTTGTCAATTGAAACTTGTGGAAATAAGTGTGGAGATTTCTTTTAAAAAGCTAGGATTGGAGGTCTCATTCAACCCAACTATCCCCCTCCTAGGTATTTTTCCAGAAGAACTGAAAACATCATACCACCGCAATACATGTGCATCCCTGTTTATAGCAGCACAATTTGTCATAGATAAATCACGGAAACCACCCAAATGTCCATCAACTAAGGAATGGATGAAAAACATGTGGTATTTTTACATAATGCAGTATTATTCAGCTATAAACAAAGATAAATTTAAGTATTTTATAGGTAAATGGATGCATCTAAAGAACGTACTCATAAGTGAAATAAATCAGATCCCTGTGTGACAGCATAGTATTTTCTCCCTGGTATAAGAACCTGAAAGGGTAAATAGGATCTGAAAGGTACAATGGATACTGTGAAAGGGAAAGAAACTGTTCAAAAGGAAGGAACAACTGGGATGATGGAAAGGAGAAAAGAAATAAGAAAAGGAAAAAGAAATATATGTGTATATACATAGTATGGCCGTGTGTGTGTGTGTGTGTGTGTGTGTGTGTGTGTG